ATTATGGCCATCCTTGCCTGTCCGCAGGGATTTATTTAGAGTTTAGGATTCTATCCATCAGGAACATACTTAAATTGTTTATCGGACCTCGGACCTGCTAGCGGGACGTCCGCGCTTCACACTATTTCCCACGCGTGTGCATGCACTCCACGCCCCGCCAACACGCCTCTTCTCGTGCCTGTGTTTCGTGCACCCACGTGGGGCCTGCGCCGTACGGACGTCGCCCGCACCACCAGACTGCGTCCAGGGACTGCTCGTGCCTCCTCCCGTTTTCCACGCGTATCTCATTTGCAACACCCGATCTACTTTTAAAAAATCTAAATGCGGCACTTGCAACATACGTCTGAAGGCAGATAAAACACTTAAAATATGCTTCTGAAACACTTAAAAAAACACCTGAAAAACGCTTAAAAACCATTGCAAATATAAGCAACATCCAGAAACACTTGCAACATATGTGTGAAACCTATGTAACATCCAGATAAACACGCTTACAATATATGTCTAAAAACACAGATGAAACATTAGAAACAAATGCTTGCAACATACGTGTATAACCATTGCAACATATGCAGCATCCCGATCTCCTTTTGCAACATCCATCTAAAACACTTGCAACATGCCTCTGAAACACTTGAAACATACGCTTGCAACATGCAATTTTCACCCTTTTTCTGTGTGACGCAGAGCAGAGCGGGGAACGGCCGGTTCTGGCCAGCCGACGGAGGATGGTGGCGCGGCCTGGCAGCGGCCAGCTAAGCTTGCGCCTGACCTAGGCCCGGCTAGCGACTGCCCTTTCTCCTAGCTGCCTAGCCACAGGCGGTGTCCGGGTGCTTGCACGACTGCTGCTGGGTTGGCCCCGGCCAGTCAACGCCATCGGCAAGCGCCTAGACCCCGACGGCGGTGAGGAGGCTCATCGGCTCAGTGGAAGCGACCACGGCTAGCGGGCGGCGTGGGGAGGCGGCCGCGGTGGGTGGGCAACGCGGTGCAGTGGTGGAGAACGCCGTGAAGCCGCGACATGAAGCGAAGCGAGTGGGGTTGGGGATTTCTATCTTCTTTTTGAGAGAAGGTGGGGATTTCTAGCCGGTGATGAGATGGAGCACAGTGCGTGGAGGGGTTGCCTGTTGGGCCCGAGTACTGCACAAACCTGTGAAGATGGCGTCCGGACATATGCTCTTCCGAGAGCATTAGCAATTGTTTATATATCAGGGTTGTTAAAACCCACTCTATTCTGCTCACACAGGAGCATTCAAGCATTGGTGGCTTATTCATGCGTCGACACATGTCTATGTATGTTTTGCAAAAAAAAACCTTTAACTTTTATAAAATCAACCCGCCATATACCTTGTCCATAAATAGTAATCACACTTTGAAATTTTATGAACAGAACCCTCATGTTAATTTTATTTTAACATGAAGAAGGCAAGATTTGATTGCCTAACTATTTTGCAGAAATCCCCTTGAAATTTTGCGAAGCCCCCTCAGAGGCGCACCCTAAGTCCCCCAACCCTAGCGCAACGGCCGTCTCATCTCTGCCTCTCTCGTCTTTCTCTCTCCCCGTCGCCGCCAAGAGAACGGGGACGGAGTGACAATTCATAAACTTAGTGGCAATTATAAGCAGGAGGCAACAATTGCAATGGGGGATTGTGCCTGTTTTGTGGAAGCTGTTTCACCAGGGCCTCCTTGGTAGGAGAAGTTGAAAATAGCTTTTTTGTGATGCTATGCAAAAGCGCTACCAAATAGACCTAAATTAGTGTTGTGCATAGAAGCATGGCAAAAAAAAGGCTGTAAAAAAACATATCAATTGGCTTTTAGTTTGAGCTTATTTTGATCATAAATAATTTATAAGTTGTACCAAACATGGCTATTATTTTGTATATCATTATTGAGCTTTTTGTCGGTCCTGGTTGAAAACATTTAAATTTACAAAAATCTATTGGAATTTTGTCAATAATAATGAAGCTTTTTGTAATATATATACTAAATTTTAAGTGTTTTAAATCTTAACAATACTTGATATATATGATTATACATATCTAAATGGCAACATATCATGTGCAAACCAATCAACCTGTGCAAACTTGGAAACGATAATCAGGACCACTGGATGCTGATCCAATGGATGGGGTGAGGGGGCTTAAGCGCAAAAAAAAAAGACGGCGGGTGGGGGCTTAAGCGCAAAAAAATCCCACCTCTCACCCCGTCCATTGGATCAGCATCCAGTGGTCCTGATGGGTAGTTTATAAGTTTACACAGGTTAATTGATTTGCACCAGATACGTTGCCTATCTAAATAGTGAGTGAAAGTCGTGGAACACTTTGAAAATGAGGATTCCTCCAATTAAAAAAATGCATTTCAAAATATGAAACTTGGAATTTCGGTGTCCGCTTTCGTCCCAACAAAAACATCAAAATCTGAACTCGGACGGAATTCTGGCGATTCTTTTTTTTAGTCCGGCCATATTTTGGACTGCGTGACTGCAGTGAGTAGTGTTTTTTTTTTTTTTGAGAAAACTAGAGTGAGTAGTTGCACTTGCACCCTGCACTACTCTGCTCGTTTCGCTTGCGAGCCTTCGCCACTGGGCCCAGCCCATGCCGAACCCAACCAGTTAACCACTTCGAGCTCGCGCGTCCCGAGAAGAAGAGAGGAGCATCGCGGTGCGTGCGAGGCGACGCGAGACGACACGACACGACACGACGACATGCGTCGGTCCTCCGGCGTGCGGGTGCGCCGATGCAAAATTCAAAAATCTCCGACTCGACTCCCACGTCCTGCATGCCCCTGCGGCCCGCAGTGATTTGTCGGCTCATTGTCACTGACTGGGGCCTGCCTCCTGCCTGTGAGGCGGCCGGGTGACGTTTCGTGGGGCCAGCTTGACAGTGACTTTGCAGCATGTACTGTTGGTACGCTGTTCACTGCTCACGTGTCACGGCTTACAAAATTGACGATCAGTAACACAAGGATGAAATATCAGTAATTTTGTGTTTATTGGTGGGTCCCATCTAGATACCGGGCTTGCAGCACGCGCGCCGCGCGCGACACTTGCATTGCACACACCTGTGTTAAAAGTCACGTGCTTCGGCGTATTCCCTTCGTCCTAAAATAAATGTATTTTTAGAGTTTAAATAATCAGATCAATGTTAGTGAAAAATTACATATATGCCCCTATAAAAATGTAATCATTACAGCTCGGGAATAGAGAAAGTAGAAAAAGACAAATAAAGTTAGTTTGTTTTATATGTAGAGGTGTATTTATTTTGAGAAAAAATTTGAACTCTAGAAGTGTATTTATTATAGGACGGAGGGAGCATGACGTACAGTATGACGAATACAACGATAAAAAATTTGCCTTCTTCTAGAATCCCTGGGCCGTTTGGCCATGGCTTTTTAGCCTGTTCGGTTGGCTGGTTCGTATCGTTGCTGGTTCGTGAAGAAGTACTGCTGGCTGGTTTATGTGAGAGAAAAATACTGTTCCAGCTGGAAATTTACGATCATTTACGACAAGCCACAGCCAAACGAACAGGCTGTTTGTCCAAAAATATTTACTCCCATCTCAAAATATTTGTCTGTCTATATTCATAAGGCCCTCCGTGGTGTGCAAGTGATTGCCCAAATAAAATGGGTCCCACAGCAAGAAAAACGGGCATCACTAGTACAAAGCTGCAGTGCGTGAAAACGCAAGAATCGCTGCTAGGCCAAATTTTGATTGCAAGTTTTTTTACTCTTTTTTTATCACATTAAATCTTTGACATATGCATGAAGTATTAAATATAGATAAAAAAATAACTAATTACACAGTTTGATTGTAAATTACGAAACGAATCTTTTGAGCCTAGTTAGACCATGATTGGACAATAATTGTCAAATACAAACGAAAGTGCTACCATGCCAAATACTGATTCATAACCCAGGCCCAGTTTAGATGCAAATTTTTTTGCAAAATGAGCACTGTAACATTTTCGTTGTTATTTAGCAATTAGTGTTCAATCATAGTCTAATTAGGCTTAAAAGATTTGTCTCGTGGATTTCATCTAAACTATGTAATTAGTTTTATTTTTTATTTATATTTAATACTTCATATATATGTCTAAAGATTTGATGTGACGAGTAATCTTAAAAAATTTGGTAAAACGAAGTGAAACTAAACAGGGCCCCAATCTAAACAAGGTCATGGTATCTTGCATGCTGAGGGCCGAGGAGAATAAAAAAGTACCGATCTTATCTTGTCTTCCACCTTGTGCTACAGTAAATGCTAGTTTATTAGTTGGGTATCGGTGCCTGTACATGCCTCGCTCCCAGTTTTTGTAGCATCATTGGTAAACGGCACCGCTAGCTGCAACGTTGAACTATAGTAGTAATTACCTCTCCTGCGCAGTAATACTTCCGCAACAGAAAACATGTTACACCATAAAAATAGCCATAAAACCATGTCCAATAGTAGTAAACTTTACATAATTGGTCACTGAACTCTTTTTTTTTCTAAACTATATAGTAGTAAGATTCTGAAATCTTTCCTTTTGTAAACAAGTAGTAAGATTCTTCACGTTGTTCATCGAAACAATAGTAGTAAGATTCTTAACATCCAAACAGTTCTTTTTCTCCTTTGCAAAAGTACATTGTTCATCCAAACAGTTAAAACACCGGTCCCAAAATTCAAACCGTCAAAATAATCCCTCCGGTCCCAAAATCCAAACCGTAAAAATAATCCCTTGGCAGTACAATACAAATATAACACTGAAGTAATTTGGTGAATTGCAATAGTAATCAGCCAGAAAATAACAAAAATCAAATAGTAGTTCATCCAAAAAGTAAAAACTATTCCAAAACTGAAACCGTAAAATGCACATATGGCAATACGATACAGTATAACATGGTAGTAGTAACATTGGAGCAGTAATTTGGTGCTTTCCAGTAGTAAGAAGCCAGAAAGTAACAAGAATCAAACAGTAATAATTCCTCGTTCACCATTGGTACATTGTACATGAACTTTTGAACCAAAATCAAACAAACTCATCTTTATTTTTGTACAAACAAAATCCATCAAAAAGATCTAGCAGCCGCTGTTCCTGGGATTTGTACGCACAGATCCACATCTGTGCCAGTCGTTGGCAACAACGCATTTCTTGGGAACAATTTCCCTGCAGCTAGCTTACCGTGGAGCCCGCGCCCAGCATGTGCATCGCACGCCAGGATCCGCAGGGCACAGGAGTGCCGCCAGGTGGGTTGGGAAAGGACTCCACTGCCGCTGCCGGAAGGGAGACGGGGCCGCGTCGGACGTCCAAGCCGATTGAGGGGGCACCGACCACGCCGATGCAGGGAGCATCGTGCACGCCGTTGGAGGGGAGGCCGCCGCCGCCGCTCTGATCTAGACGGGATGTCTCCGCCGCCATGGTGGAAGGGACCCGCGCCGCCGTCACCACCATGGATCTGTCCTCCTCCTCCATGGATCTTCTCTCACCTCAAGATGGGAAGGGGTGTGGGAGGGCCGCCGCACCCCATGCCGGTGAAGGGGATGATGCTCAACATGTACCGTTGCTGGTGGAGGGGAAGCCACGCGCCGCCGGTTGGGGAAGAGGCCGGTCCGCGCCGTTGACGGGACGGCCGCCGCCGCCGCCATCGGCCGCTGCTAGTGGCGTGGATGAGGGCGCCGTAGCCGCCGTCGGGCAGGGAAGGGTGGACGAGCCACCATAGTCGGGGGACGCCTGCTCGCGGGCCTCGCCACTGCCCTCGCCGAGCCGTGCCGCGGCCCTCTCCGGCGCCCAGCCACGGGAACGCTCCGCCGACAAGGCTTCAGTCAAGTGGAGGAGCGCGCCGCCGCATGTCACGCAGAGGGGAGGGGAGGCGCCGCCGCTGCCGGGTGGAGACCAGAGTCCAGAGCCCGAGTGGGCGCCGGCGTCGAGCAGGGAAGCTGGAGAGGTCGCTGGCGCCGGTAGAACTCGAGAGGGAGCCGCTTGGTCTGCGAGATCCAGGGCCTGGTTAGATGCCGAAATTTTTTGGTAGAATGACACGGTAGCGGTTTTCGTTGTTATTCGGTAACTAGTGTTCAATCATAGTTTAATTAGGTTTAAAAGATTTGTCTCGTGGATTTCGTCTAAACTGTATAATTAGTTTTATTTTTTATTTATATTTAATATTTCATGCATGCGTCTAAAGATTCGATGTAATGGAGAATCTTGAAAAAATTTGGTATTTTGTAAGGGAACTAAACGGTACCTAGATTGGAGAGAGAGAAAAAATGAGAAATGAGTGATGCTAGGGTTAGAGGGTTTCTTTATATATGGTAAAATGTAGTATGTAATTTTACGGTTGTAAATTGATTAAGGCCCTGTTTAGATCCCACCCAAAATTCAAAATTTCCCAAGTTTCCCGTCACATCGAATATTGCGGCACATGCATAGAGCATTAAATGTAGGTAAAAAGAATAACTAATTGCACAGTTTGCCCGTAATTGGCGAGACGAATCTTTTAAGCCTAAATAATCCATAATTAGATAATTTTTGCTAAATACAAACGAAAGTGCTACAGTGTCCATTTTCAAAACTAGAAGGGATCTAAACAGGCCCTAACTACTACCGCAATATTTTATTTATGGTCGTGGGATTTTAACGTTGTTGACCATTTTACCGAGCTCAGCTTTAATGAGAGAATTAATGAGACGAAGGGGGAGAGAATTAGCCTTGTTTACTTCGCGAAATTTGGATTTTGGGGCTATTGTAGCACATTTGTTTTTATTTAGTAAATAGTGTTTAAATATGGACTAATTAGGCTCAAAACGTTCGTCTCACAATTTCCCACCAAACTATGCAATTAGTTTTTCTTTTCGTCTACATTTAATGTTCCATGCACGAGCCGTAAACATTCGATGTGACAGATACTGTAGCAACTTTTTGGAATTTGAAGTGGAATTAAACAAGGCCTTAGTCTCACGGTGGCGTGCAGGGAGAGTAAATTACGGGATTTATTACTTTTGCGGCCGGTAATTTACTGTCTGCGTGGCTGGGATCAGTCCACGCCGGAGGTGGGCGGAGCTCCGCCGAGCGCTGGTCCTCAATAACAGTTATATATATATATAACACACGGTAAGGCTATTCTACGTCTGGCCACAGAATAATTTATTTTATGGCCATCTTAATTTACGATAATATTTATACCAATTTACGATAATGATAATACACATTTACGATACATGTGTTACTATAATTCAAGATGATACTTACCATAATGCTATGGTAAATCACTTATGAGGGAGCTACCATAATCTTGTAAATTAGTATAGTAATTATCGTAACTCAAAGTGGCCACAGAATAACTTATTCTGTGGCCAGCTACAGAACAGTATGTGTATGTAGGGTAAGGCTATTCTGCAGCTGGCCATAGAATAACTTATTCTATAGCCACCTTGATTTACGATAATATTTGTACCAATCTACGATAACATGAATATGCATTTACGATACTCGTATTACTACAACTCACAGTGATATTTACGATAATATTATAGTAAATCACTTAGTAAGGAGTTACTGTAATCTCGTAAATTAGCATGGTAATTATCGTAACTCAAAGTGGCCACAGAATAAGTTATTCTATGGCCAGTTGCAGAATGGCCAGTTGCAGAACGATATATATATATATATATATATATATATATATATATCGTATGTTTACCGTCGGCTGGTGCTGGTTTGTTATGAGAGAAAAATACTGTGGCTGGCTGATTTAGACTGACTGAAACCAACAAGCGAACATGTGGATGTGGATGACTCCATTCTGAATCATAGACTGGATTGACGTTCTGAAGCGTCCAGTAGGCCCATCCAAACGTAGCATTCCCGTAAACATCTTGCTGAACTTTGGCAAACCTCTGGAAGTCCGTCTTATTTGCAGATTGCGGTGGCACGGCCCGCGCGGCCGACCATTCTCCTATATAAAATACAAAGAATTGAATAGAAATATTTATTTGTACAGTTTAGTAATCCAAAGGATTGCTGAAATGACTGCCAGCAGACTGCTTACCTACAAAAGTGAGGGGACGCCCATTCTGATTTGTGATGGCTTTGAGATCAGAGGAGCGGTTGTTCCTCACAAAGTCGATGTTCTGCTCTACAGTGAGGTTGGAGAACTTGTCCTCGTACAGGTTGTAGTAGTGTACCTCCAGGACGGCGCCATCAAAGCCACCCGCGAACTGTAGGAGCTCCGTCTGGTTTTCTATATTTAACCTGTTAGACATGATCACGTATGTTGTCGACGAGTACAGACGCACTGTTTTATGGCCGTCCTCGTAGTATTTCTTCAGTCTAGACAAGTCTGCGCCTGGTGCCAGCGGCTCATTGAGCAGCTCAATGGCCAAGAGGGCTGTGTTGTTCGCGTACCTGTTGATTTACATGTAGATCGAGCAGCTGGTTGGTATGTTATTGGTTCAATCATTAAGGCGAGAGAAAACTACTATATATAGTCAGTCAGTGTGCTATGAATTTTCGTTCACTAACCTTTTTGCAAGGAAGTCGATGACTTGCACGGTTTGGTTGATGTTTTCATCGGTATTGCCCCACTCCTGTGACCCGTCTCTAGTTGCACTATGATCATATGGGTTTTGTGACCCCGGCGCAGCATGGAATGTGACAATAACGCTAATGCTGTATTTCCTGTGAACACAAATTGGAATCCATCGTCTCCGTCATTCCTTAATGGCCATGATATGATACTACAAATGAGTTAGGTCGACAATGCTTCTTGTACGTTGAATGGAGATCTGAAGACACACTTAGGGCGTGATTGGTTGTAGACCAAGCCTTGAGCCAGAATGGCTAGGCTATGCAGGACAAAGAAGTTGGGTTGAGCTTGTGCAAGTGGTCGTGTTTGGTTGTCTTTGCTGTTGGTCTAGTATGAGACGAGATTGTGTTTGGTTGCATGCATGCATCAGTTTTTTTTGGGTGACTGACGCATGGGTCCCTCTATCCTGGGTGAATCAAGTCATCCTGCACCATGAGGGAAGGAGAAATCCAGAAGACGGAGACGTAGGGGATGAAGGAGGGCAAACGAATGAAAACATTGCACGGAGGGATGCAGGATGCCCCTTCGGACGCCCTGGTTCGGGCAACCAATTACCCTCTTACTGTCCCCAGCTGAATGCCTTGTCCAAGAATTGGACAGAGCCTCCAACAAAAGGCCGAGGAGGGTTGTCGCCGCTGGCAATCCACCATCCAACCGGGATTCTCACCGCGTTCAGTCCACTTGACGCCATGAATTCGAAGTCCCTCTCAGCCATGAATGTGCCCCAGTGGTTCTAGAAATAATTACAAAGAACATTCAAAACTGAACTAAAACAATGCGATTCTAAACTTAGCCTTTGCAGCATAACTGCTTATCTTTCTCAAGAAAAAGGTCTTTCTACCGATTAAGCAAATGAGAAATGATTGCTAATGGAAAATTAATTAATGGATCCATGAAGCCTGTGCAGTCCACATATATGTGTTGATTATTATCAAATCAAATAAATATATAAGTATGTGAATGTTTCTTGGCAAGATTCTTTCATCTTGTTTATTCATCAGTTTAGGGCGTGTTTAGTTCCGAAAATTTTTAGCTTTTAGCTATTGTAGCACTTTCGTTTGTATTTGGTAAAAATTGTCCAATTATGGACTATTTAGGCTTAAAAGATTCGTCTCACGATTTCTCGGCCAACTGTGTAATTAGTTTTTTTTTGTCTACATTTAGTACTCCATGCATGTGCCGTAAGATTCGATGTGACAGGTACTGCGCAAAAAATTTTGGATTTTGGGGGAAATTAAACGGGCCTTAGTTAATTTGAAAAGTAGCGCCAACTGGAAATGGAACAGGTAAAGGCATGTACCATCCTTCTATGTTTTGTTGACTCTGATTCAGGTCAATTTGGATTGTAAAAAATAATATTCCCTCGGGTGCACAAAGAACTGCTATTTTGATGGACTTTATTTGATCTCCAATTTTTATTCTTCTATATTTTGACCAATATATATTTCACATTCTTACCGCATTTTAAGAAACATGATTTATTTATCCTTGATTTCCATTCTCCCACTAATTGAGAAACATATATTGACAGTCAAAGTTTTGAAATGTTGTACTGCAGATATATCACATAATATATGTGCTGTTTGACCGGATAGATGGAGCAGCACAGGCCTGTCTGTCGTATCATGGATCATACACACCAATACGTACGGCATGCCCATATCATGCATCCGATATGAACTCAACGGAATGGTCGAAACACCGACTCAGCAGGGGGGAACCCCACGTATGACTTGATCGGAGTCTATTGACTGAACCTGGTTGTTGCGGCCACCCGTTACACAGCGCTCATAAATAGGAGACACCCCTCACCTCTCAAGAACCAATGTACCGAGAGAGGTTAGCCACTACAAACCCTAAGCACCCGATCAAACCGAGTGCGGGAGTAAATGGAAGGCCGACGCCACTCGTCTCCTTCTCGCCACCACACCAGAGGGAGTTGCCGCTGCCAGGAGGATGAAGGCGATGGGTATGACTATGGGATCATCAGTCTGTTCGGTTGGCTAGTTCGTATCGTTGCTGGTTCGTGAAGAAGTACTACTGGCTGGTTTGTGTGAGAGAAAAATACTGTTCCGGCTGAAAATTTACGATCGTTTACGATAAGCCACAGCCAAACGAACAGGCTGCATCTCCGCCAACCTAACCGATCAGCGTCTGCATCACACAGACACAGGTTCTCTTGTACTTGATGGCTAATGAAGGTACTACCTAAGATCTAATCTAAGTATAAATAGGTATCCTAATTTGACTAGAGATCCACTTTTAAGTCCTAACCGTAAGTAAATTTTAACATGATGATGTGTTTCATCATTCTGCTAGGTTTCACCTCCCATTTAGTAGAGATATAAGTTATTTAGTTACACTTGTAAGAATATTTATTCAACAGATTAATGGAGCGACCGGCCTTGAATACAATGTGTTTTTGGATAGATAGATATATCTACACTACTGGAAATGCGTGCTTTGCCGAGGGCCTGAAGATTTGCCGAGGGCCAAATCTCGGACACTCGGCAAAGACGCTCTTTGCCGAGGGCCAGACACAAGAGCCCTCGGCAAAGAACGGCCCTCGGCAAAGAGGCCTTTGCCGAGGGTACGACCCTCGGCAAAGACAGGCCCTCGGCAAAGATGTCCTCGGCAAATTAGGCCCGTTGGGTCACGGCGGTCATTTCCCGTCAAGCTTTGCCGAGGGCCCAGATCCACGGCCCTCGGCAAAGATTTTTATTTTTTTTAAATTCTTTGCCGAGGGCCTAGATCCACGGCCCTCGGCAAAGATTTTTTATTTTTTTTAAATTCTTTGCCGAGGGCCCAGATCCACGGCCCTCGGCAAAGATTTTTTATTTTTTTAAAAAAAATTCTTTGTTAGGGCTGACAGGCGAACCCTCGGCAAAGAGCCCTCGACAAATTTTTTTTTTTTTTTTTTTTTTTTTTAATAATTTTTTTTTTTTGCTACAATACATTGTTTTGAACTCAATTTTAAAATTTAGGCCAATTTTGATTTTGTTTTGTATATTTCCTTAATTTATTTCGATTCTTTGTTTTTTTGAATATGTCAAATTTGAACTATGTTTTGCATGGAATTTGCAATGTAGTGTTTGAAAACATGTTATTCATGCCAAGTTGGTGCATTTTGAGTCCCTATCCGATTTTATATAATTTTAAAACACTTTTTCCAAGAAGTTGGCATGTTACGTAAACAAGATGCGGAAAATTTGATGTGGAGTCGTGATAGAGACTCAACATGCACCAATTAACATGAATAACATTTTTTGAAACACTACATTGCAATATTCCATGCACCCGCAGCTCAAATTTGACATATTCAAAAAAATTGAGAAAGAATCGAATAAATTAAGGAAATATACAAAACAAAATCAAAATTGGTCTAAATTTTAAAATTGAGTTCAAAACAATGTATTGTAGAACCACAAAAAAAATGGGCTAAAAACAAAAATTTTTTTTTTGTTGAGAGCTTTTTGTCGAGGGTTCGCTGTGCGGGCTCTCTCGCAAAGAATTTTTTTTAAAAAATCTTTGCCGAGGGCCGTGGATCCGGGCCCTCGGCAAAGCACCGAACCCTAAATCGAGCCACAGCAGCCCAAATTCCCGATTGAAATTGTGAAAAAAAGCGGTCGACCTCTCCTCCCCACGCCTTTCGCTCATGGCCGCCTTACGCTCTACACACACACCATCCACACCTGCCACTGTGAGCCATGGCTGGCCCGAGCCCGACCACCTGCCCCACCTTCATGCATGCGCCATTCCCGTTTGCCATTCACACCTCCACACACACACACACACACACCACACACACACACACACTGCCGCTTGCCACACCATTGCCACCCACCACCACTACCCCGCCAGCTTCACCGCCCATTCGCCCGCCCCACCAGCCCCGCACCACCACGCCTAGTGGTGGCCGAGGTCAATCGCCTCCGTTCCCCATCTCCATCGAGCAAGGGAGGTCGAGCCCGCCCGGCCGCCCTCGGCGGCTCCCCTCGCCCCCTTTCCGCCTCCCCCAGTGCCGCCTGTCCGTCATGCTTGGAGGGGAGGAGGCGGGGTGAAGTTGGAGGAAGAAGAGAAGGAGAAGAGGAGAAGGAGGAAGGGGAAGAAAAGGAGAAGAAGAGAAGGAGGAAGGGGAAGAGAAGGAGAAGAAGGGGAAAAGGAGAGAAGAAAGGGAAGAGGGGGAGAGGAGTACTCCAACGCCGCTCGACCTCGTCGGAGAAGAAAGTGACCCCCGCACCGCGACGCCTGACTCCACCGTAACCCTAGGTAAAACTCTCGTTGTCGGCCTTCGTGCCGTATGTGGTTGTGTGGGCCTTCGTGCCGTAACTTGATATGAGGGCCTTCGTGCCGTTGTGGTTGTCGGCCTTCATGCCGTTGGGAATGTCGACCATTGTGTCGTTTTTTTGCAGGTTTTGGAAACCTCCCCGTGCAGGGGAGGTGCTGCCGAAATTTTGAACAAAAAATAACCTATTGTCTTTTTATGCAGGAGAAGAGTACGTCGGAGGGGACCCGGAGGACCCTGATCGTCTTCGTCGACGTCGCGGTTCTGCCTGCCCTACGTCGCCAAGCCACTGCGTCGATTCACCACTGCCCCGCTAGCCTTACTTCACCGACACCCTTGGTATAAATAACCTCTTTTTGCGCATGTCTATCGTAGCCCGCGCGTAACCCAGTTAGGCATCTCCCGTCCGAAAGAGATACGGTCGTAGGTATGCGGATCTTTGCGTATCTGTAAGCGTATCTGTTTCGGATTGTCCACGTTTTTTGGACAGCCCGTGGATGCGTAGATGGGTTAGTTTCCATGGTCCGCTCCGGTCTGAGAAGGAGTTTCGGCAACACCTCCCTGTTGTTCTCCGGATACACACTCTCCCTTGCAGGACGTGTATCGGGAGAACAACGGGGAGGTGCTGCCGAAATTCTGTCTCAGAGAGGAGCAGAGCATGGAAACTGACCTCATCTACGCATCCACGGGTGGGATTAGGACCTATTCTCACCTATTAGATAGTAGGAACACCGCGTAGATGCAATTGATGGTCACAATACTCTATGCTGTAAATGTTAAAGGATGGAGGACCGTCAGTGGATGTACACGGGCTGGAGAAGTGGGAGTGACTACGACTATGAATGGGTGAAGGGGACAGATGGTTTCTTGAAACATGCATTTGGCCCAGGGGCAGGAGGACATTCTCTAGTTTGGTGTCCCTGCAGCAAATGTGACAACAGGAGAAAAGTAGACAAGAAGACCATGGGTAGACATCTTGTGTTCAATGGTTATACGCCTGGCTACCAGCAGTGGATCTACCATGGTGAAGCAGATCGTATAAGAGCGGAGGTGGTGAGAGCACGCCTCGAGGCTTTTGATGATGATGCCGGGGTAGCAGACATGCTAGATGACGCCCACCAAGCTCACTTCGCTGAACGACGTGAGAAGGAGGACATGGAGGAATCCGCGAATGACTTCTACAAAATGTTGGACTCGGCACAGAAACCCCTTCACGAGCGTACAATGATTTCTCAGCTAGATGCGATTGGACGCGTAATGGAGTTGAAGGCCGAGTTAAACTTGAGTCGAGAAGGCTTCGATAAGATGTTGGCCGTGTTTGGCACCATGCTACCGGAGAAGCACACTTTGCCGATGAACTTGTACGAGGCAGAGAAACTCCTTCGTATGCTTAAGATGCCATATGACAAGATACATATTTGTCCGAAGGG